AAAAGAACTCCAACTAGAATTTGATCACATTGTGTTCTTTTTAAAGTATTTATTTTTATAGTTGTTGTTTGTGGCATATGATGAGGTTTTTCCACTTATGGTAATAATGGAAAGTTTCTAGTAAAATGTTTGGCTCACTGTTTTAAAGAAAAACAAAAAGTCATGCTTTTCTTATGTCTTCTGTTCACTTCCTTCACTTAGATGTTCTCTGTTTTATGTAGTTAATTCCCTCCTACAAAAACTGGGAAGATTCTATATTAGCAGTTCTAAAACAGGATATAGAGATGATAATTTTTTTAAGGTTTTTGCCATAGGGCACATGCACTCACCAGAGAGAGAGAGAGAGAGAGAGAGAGAGAGAGGAAGAGAGAGAGAGAGAGCAAGAAGGAAAGCAAGAAATGCCATCTCCCCCCAGGGGTGATGGCCACATCACAATCCCTTCTCCTCCATCCTCTTCCTGGGATTTTAGGCATGTAAGCACATGTGCCTGACATGACTTACTTACTTACTTTCTCTCTCTCTTCTTTTAGAGAAAGATTTTTGCTATAAGGCATATGTGCTCACCAGAAATGCAGAGAGAGACAGAAAGACAGAAAGCAAGAAATTACCCCCCCAGGGGGGTTGGCCATTGCCACAATCCCTTATCTTCCATTCTCTCGGGATCTTGGGCATGCATATACATGTGCCCAGTGTGAATTTCAAGCTGCCAGGTCTGGGACTTGAACCATGGTCAACTACATGGGAGTCTAGCAGTGTAACCATTATGCCATCTGCTACTCCCCTGGTGTAATTTCCAAGGGTTCCCTGGGTCAGGGACTTGAACTGCAGTTGGCCATGTGGGAGTCCAGTGCCTTAATCACTTTATCACCTGCTCGCCCCAGGGATGGTATTTTTAATTTAAAAATTTAGTTCTAAAATAACTAGATCTTACACTAATTTTGATTAGAGAACAGTTTTGTCGTAATTGCACCATTGTAAGATGGTTGTTCCATTGTTTTTCTTTCCTTTTTTTCCTTGTATATATTCATTTTAAAAAATAATTATTTTATTTAACTTTATTTATTTATTTATTGTTTTAATTTGATCAGAGAGAGACAGAGTGAGAGAGAGTGAGTGAGAGAGGGAAAATGAGAAAGAAAGCTTCCTGGTCTAGTACTCGAACCGCAGTCATCCATGTGGGAGTTTAGCACCTTTAACTACCATGCCACCTGCCGGCCCTTTGTGTGTATTCATTTTAGTAATAATCATGAACATTTTTTTAGTGTTTGTATGCATTCTTTTAAGCATTTCACGTCTAATAACTTCTTTAATCTCAACCACTCTATGCTGTATTATAGATACTGTTATCCCTGTTTACAGATGAGAAAATTGAAGGATAGTGAATTCAAGACACCATAATTTGAATCCAGGGTATTGGTCTTCTGAACTTGAACCTTTAACCTCTGTACTATGCTGTCTTCCATATTTATCAGTGTTTTATTTACACTTATTATTATGGTCTTTTAAAATTTTTTTCACATAACACTTATAAATGTTTTCCTCTTGGTATATAGTTTTCAGATTTTTTTAAAAAAATTGCCAGAGAGCATGTGTGTTTCCCATAGAGAGACAGAGAACAGAGAGAAAGAGAGAGGACAAAAGCACCCTTCAGTGCGGTATGGTCCCACTGCAATCCCTTCTCCATTTCTCCATCCTGTTGGGATTTGGAGCTCTCACAGACTTGCACCCAGCATGGTTTTCAAGCCACTGGGCATGAGATTTGAGCTGCACTGTCGGCCTATAGCAAAAACAAACAAACAAACAAACAAAAAGAAACTCTCCAAAAATAAAGTAATAATTAAATCAGATGTAAATAGGTGAAATAACTTAATTTCAAAAGAAAGATTATCAGATAAGATTTAAAAAACCAAGGCCCCACTAAGTGCTGAACCACAAGGCAACAGGGCCAGGGCCAGAATTTTTTTTTTTTTTTTTTTAACCCACCGGATGGAGCCAGCCAGTGGCATGGTGGTTAGGGCACTGGACTCCCACACAACCAACTGTAGTTTGAGTCCTGGACCTGGTGGCTTGATTTCTCAACCCCCTACCCCCCATCTCTCTCTAGTGAGCACACATGCCTTATAGTAAAGCTTAAAATAATAACAATAAATAAAATTAAATGTATAATTCTTAAAAATAAGAATCCACTCAAAATTAAAAAGATAGGATAGGAGTAAAAGGCTGGAAAAAGATATAATATACAAACTTTTAAAAGTAAACTAGACGGACCAACAGGTGGCATGGTGGTTAAGGCTCTGAACACTCCCATGTGGCTGACCATGGTTCTAGTCCTGGACCTGGTGACTTGCTTTCTCACTTTCTCTCTCTCTCTCTCTCTCTCTCTCTCTTCTCTCTATGGTCAAATTAAAAAATAAATGAATGAATATGTAAAATTAAATAATTCTTTTAAAAAAGTAAACTAGAGACACTATATATGTGTGTGTGTGTGTGTGTGTACTTTTTTTTTTTTTTTGCTACAGGGTGCATGCATTTGCGAAGAGAAACAGAGAAACCATCAGAAGGAAGTGAGAAATCATGCCCCAAGGGGGATGGCCACACTACAATCCCTTCTCCTCCATTCTCCTCTCGAGATTTTGAGCACACACGCATGCCTGGTGTGATTTTCAAGCTGCCATGTCTGGGACATGAACCCCTCAGTTGGCCACATGAGATCTAGCTGTCTTAACCTCTGTGCCACCTGCTGGTTCAAGGTGTTATATTATCGTGCAGGAAAAAACCAGACTTTGGAACAAGGGATATTAGTAAGAACAGAAAGTAACATAATGACAACTCATAAAAATGGTAACTCATAGTCAAAAGGAAGTAAAAATAAAATTAGAATGACAACAGAAGGCAGCTCATTTGTTATATGGTGTAGTTTTAGAGGAAGAAATAAACAGGCAGGGGCAGAGCCAGGCAGTGCCACAGTGATAACACAACTGGACTCATATAGGAAAGGTTTGGGGTTCACAACCCAGCATCTCCCTGGGCACACAAATGCACATGCTAATTATCAAGGCAGGCAGAAAATGGGGCCAGGTATGCTTGTTATCAGGGCAGACTAAGTCTGAGGGTGGACTGCTGCAGGAAGACCTTGTTTTGAGGGTGCCTGTTTCTCTGTTTCAGAAGAAACAAACTTTTTAAAAAACATAAAGGCACATAAAGGAGCTCTTTCAGACGACAGAAACGTCCCATATCTTTATACAGTTGCAGTAACTAAGGCATAGACATTCATAAGTTTACCAATTGAACACTTAAAATGGGTGAATTTCATTTAATGTAAATTAAAACATAATAAAGTTGATTCTTAAGAAAACATCTGTGGGGACCAGCAGTTGGTGTAATGGTTATGTCACTTGGTTCCCATATAGTTGACCACAGTTCAAGTCCCTGTGGCTTAAACTCACAGAGGGTATGTGTGCGTGCATGCCCAAGATCCTGAGAGGAGAATGGAGGAGAAGGGATTGCGGCGTGGCCATCCCCCCTGAGGAGTGATTTCTTGCTTTCTGTCTGTCTTTCTAGTGAGTGCACATGCCCTATAGCAAAAAAAAAAAAAAAAAAATTCTGGCCCTGGCCCTGTTGCCTTGTGGTTCAGCACTTAGTGGGGCCTTGGTTTTTTAAATCTTATCTGATAATCTTTCTTTTGAAATTAAGTTATTTCACCTATTTACATCTGATTTAATTATTACTTTATTTTTGGAGAGTTTCTTTTTGTTTGTTTGTTTGTTTGTTTGTTTGTTTTTTGCTATAGGGCACCTATGCTAGCTGGAGAGACAGAGAGACAGAAAGCGATAAATCACTCCCCAGGGAGGATGACCATGCCACAGTCCCTTCTCCTCCATTCTCCTCTCAGGATCTTTGGCACGCACACACATGTGCTGGCGTAAGTTTAAACCACTGGGTCCAGGACTCAAACCACGGTTGACTACATAGGAGTCCAGCGACATAGCCATTATGCCAATTGCTGGTCCCCTGATTTAATTATTAATGTTATTGCATTTAAATAGGCCATTGAGCTAGTCTAAAAAAAAAACTCATAAAAGTCAGGGATTAATTTTTCTTCCTTCCTTCCTTCCTTCCTTCCTTCCTTTCTTTTTTTCTCTTGCAAGCATAGCCATATCATCGTTGGAGGGTAAGATGTGTGTTTTTCCGTTAGTTCCATGTACTTTAATTCCCAGGGCATGTAGGTAAATGGAATGTTGTATGAACCTGTGCAATTTAAGGTTAAACACAACAACCAAACTGGTCAGTTGGTAGCATGTAGTTAAGGCAGCAAGACCCTACATCGCTGACCACACAGTTTGAGTCCCGGACCTGGCAGCTGAGACACATGTCGTGTGTGTGTGTGTGTGTGTGTGTGTGTGTGTGTGTGTACGCATGCGCACCCAAAATCCTGAAACAAGAAAAGAGGAAAAGGGCTTGCAGCTTAACTGTTCCCATGGGGTGTGCTTTCTCACTTTCCCTCTCTTTTTTTCTCTCTCTGTCTCTGGTGACTGCTTGTGTCCTTTGGCAAATTAAAAAAAAACAAACCAACAGCAGAATTTCATCAGGTTCTTAGATCCAGCCTTGCCTGTCAGCTGCTGTCCACATTCCTAATCTTGGGCCTACTTATACTTCGATGTGTTCCTCCTGTCCTGACCTCAACATCATTCCTATTTTCATTCTTGCTCCAATCACAGTCCTGTGTCTTCCTTGGCTTGTTCTATTCCTAAATATGTTAGGCTCCTAGTCCTCCTTTTCACAGATCGGCAAGTTCCCACATCATTTCCAAACTCACAGGGAGCAGCAGTAGCAACTTGTCCAAGGAGCACTGGGCAGGTGGGATGGAAGGCTGGGGAAAAGCAGAGGCCTGTGTCTGAGGCCTGCCCGTCTCATGGCTTTAGTTCTTCAGTGAACGTTTTAGGAAAATGGGAGACGTGAACTTCTGTAATCCTAAAATGAATGTGCTTTTCCTTTTTCAGTCCTAATTTACACTGGATTGTTTTTCAACTCTGGTTGGCCACTCTTGCTTTCGGATGTCAGTAAGAAAGAAACAATTTTGGGGAAAGATTTTCATCTGTTAGTACTAATAAGGTGGAGAAGACTTAGAATCAGAGGGGGCTGGTGGCTGCGCCAGGATGAAAATGGTCATATTTTAAGTGTGATGCCTTCTCGGAGGAAAAGGCAATGAGCCAGAAGACAGATGAGAATGTGGAAAGGTGCGCCTCATTCATTTTAAAGCCCCAGAAACCCATTCAGCCTTACATCTGTTCCACTCTGGATGATTTTCAAGAAGAGAGAGACTTTTTGGCAAACACCGTCTTCCCTCACCTTAATGAACTCTGCAACTCACGGGGCTCGTATTTCAAAGCTGTGGATCTGAGTTGGTCAGCAGTGAAGGTCCAGAAATCCTTACCTGCCAACCTGCTTAGACAGTATTCTTGTCTCTACTCCCAACACCTGAAGCTCTGTCTCGACTATGTGAACAAGTGCTTCCCGTTTTTCATCTGCATGCTGGGTCAGACTTACGGAGACTTCCTCCCTGCTTACTCACCTGCCATGTTCTTCAGAACAAATGACCTGTCGAGTTTATCCAACGTCGAACAGAATCTCTATGTTGCTGCAAAAAATGGTTATCCTTGGGTCCTAGAGAACCCCAACTGCAGTCTGACAGAGTTTGAGATCATGCAAGCAGCCTTTCTGAAGGAGTCTGCATTTCAGTATTTTTACTTCAGGATTGCAAACACCCGGCTGAAGACTTCAGATGAGGAGAAGAAGAAGCTGTCCTTAGGTTCTGTGATGGACGATGAGGGAAAATGGAGGATCGGAAAGCTTAAGGCCAAGATTATTAGTAAAGGGCTCCCCGTTCGATTTTACAACGATCTCAATGAGCTGGGTGAGCTGGTTTTCAAAGACTGGTCAGTCGTGATAGAAAAACTTTACCCAGCCACGTTAATGATTGAAAATTTAGGTTAGTAAATATAGAGACAACTAAGTCTGTTATCAATCTAAGGTTGATGTTTTGTGTATCTTCTTGGTGAAAGAACTTTGAAATGATCTTAAATATTCTTTAAGCATTTAAAATTATTACATGCTGGGAACATGTATTTCTCCATTTAAAAAATTTCTGAAATTGAAAAGAGCAAATCATGGGTTGTAGAAGATTATTTAGGAAGTTTAGGAACTCAGGAAGACCCAAAATATCTGGCAGTTAATACCTAGATCTGGGCCAGCTAGGTAGCATACTAGCTACCTAAGGTGGCTAGTCCTACATGGTCAATTGCTTGGTTCAAATCCTGTTCCCAGTGGCTTGAAAAAATGCCTGGCACAGGTGCTTGTGTGGCCCAAATCCTGACAGGAAAAGGGACTGTGATGTGGTCATCCCCTGGGGGGGGGGTGCTTTTCCCCCCAACCCCTGGGATTGCACACCTCCTACGGAAACTAAAAAAAAAAAACATAGGTCTTGAGCAGTTGTTCTCAACCAGGGCGGGTTTTGCCCCTTACTGGACATTGTGCCATGTCTGAAGACATTTTGGTTGTCACGACTGTGGGATAGCTACTGGCATTTAGCAGGTAGAGAAGCCACGGACACTGCTAAATATCCTATAGTACACAGAATAGCTATCCCACCCCACAGTAAAGAATTATTCAGCCCAAAATGTCAACAGTGCCCAGGTTGAGAACCTTGGGCTGAAGTAAAGAGAATTCTCTCTTTTTTTTTGGAGGGGTGTTTGCTATAGGGCGAGTGCACTCGCTAGAAAAACAGAGAGACAGAAAGCAAGAAATCACCCCCGCCCCCGGGGGAGGAGATGGCCATGCTGCAATCCCCTCTCTTCCATTCTTCTCTTGGGATTTTGGGCATGCACACACATATACCCGGTATGAGTTTAAGCCACCAGGTCCGGGACCCAAACCGTGGTTGACTGCATGAGAGTCCAGCGACATAGCCATTACACCAACTGCTGGTTTCTCCCCCACCTTTTTTCTTTTAGGAATTATTTTTTCAGCTGTATTTATTATTATTATTACTTATTTAATCAGGTCCAGAACTTGAACTGCAGTCAGCCATGTGAGAATCCAGCACCTTAACCACCACACTATCTGCTGGCCCTCAAAATCTTCTTTTATTAATTGTCTGGCACTTTGTATATATTACATTTAATACTCAAGTTTTCACCCTGCAAGGTAGGAAGTCCCATTCTGATTTTGCAGATGATCAAATGCTAACTGCTGGATAGCAGTTAAGTGACTTAGCCACTGTCACCTGACTAGTGAGGGACCTATCCAGCATTTAAACCTAGATATTTGGGTTCTGTCTCTTCTGAATCAAAATCTATGTGTATTCAACTTTACCATGTATCCTTGGCATCACCTGGAAGCTTGTTAGAAATACAGAATCTTGGGCCCCATTCCAGGTCTACTGGATTAAAATGTGCAGTTTAACAAGATGACCAGGAGATTTGCATATTCATTAAAGCTTGAGAAGCAGAGCTTGGTATCTCGCCTGAAAATGAAATGATTCTCTTTATTTTTGGAAATACTGTCTGGTATACTTGTTCCAGATTAAAAAGGGAAGAGTATTGCAGAGATTCTGCCTAGCTAATTATCGGAAAAGATGACAGAATTTATGTAGCAAGTCTAATTTTTGTCTTTGTCCTTTTTATCCCAAAGTCACGAACTAACTTGGAATCCTACTTAGAATTCCATATACAAATAGAATGAGGAAGGTTAAATGCTTTGCATATAGTTTTCTTTCATTAGCATTTGGAATGGGCTGTGAAGTGTGGTGCTAGCACATTGTAGAAAGAAGGTTATACAGATCCAGAGAACCAGATACCTTCCTCAGCATGTCTAATAGCCACGTGCAATTTAAAACATGAAACTACAAATCTGAGATATTAAAACTTGTCTTTTTGATTATAAAGACTACAAGCACAGCTTTGAACGTTTCTATCATGAAGAGTTTACTGAGAAGTGCAAGCAAGCTTTTATTATTTCCAAGGAGTCAAATAAGACCTTTGAAATCTTGGAAAAATTTGCCTTAAAGGATGTGCAACTTGAGTTTAACAACGCAGCAGTGGATTCTACTTTAGACTCCCTTCTCAGGTGAGATGTGAAGAAATTCCAAGACTTTTCATTGGGTTAAGCAAGACTGACTTTGGTAAATGTGATTCTCCCAAATTTGGAATGTCTTTCCTTACTCCCCTCATTCTATGCCCATCCCTTTCTGCAAGAGGGACTCCCATACAAGCCATTCCAGAGCTCAAATGTCCTTACTAGATAGCACTCTGCATACTCTGCATTTGCAAACGTACTTCACATGCGTTCTTTTTTTTTTTTCTTTTTAAGAGAGACTTGCTATAGGGACCAGCAGTTAGCGTAATGGCTATGTCTGTTGCTGGACTCCCACGTAGTCGACCGCGGTTCACGTCCCGGATCCGGTGGCTTAAAACTCATGCCGGGCGCATGTGCATGCGTGCCCAAGATCCCGAGAGGAGAATGGAGGAGAAGGGATTGCGGCGGCGTGGCCATCCCCCCTGGGGGGTGATTTCTCGCTTTCTGTCTCTCTGTCTCTCTCTGTCTGTCTGGCGAGTGCACACGCCCTATAGCAAAAACCTCTCCAAAAAAAAAAAAAGAGAGAGACTTGCTATAGAGCTCATGCACTCACTGGAGACACAGAGACAGAGAGAAAGTGAGAAATCACCCCCCAAGGGGGATGGCCACACCTCAGTTCTTTCTCCTCCATTCTCTTTTTGGAACACTGGGCATTCATGCACATGTACCCTGCATGAGTTTCAAGCCACTGGGTCCGGGACTCAAACCGTGGTCCACCATGTGGGAGTTCAGCGTCACAACCACTGTCTCCTGCTGGCCCTAGACTTTCTTCTAAAATTATCAAGATGATTATAAACTCTCAGGATGCAAGGGACTCACCTTCTTTTTTCTTTCTCTTACATTGAAGTTGGTCTAAGTAATTCCTGAGAATGATGGAATGCCTTGAAGGGAAGAAATTAGATTAGAAAATATGAATAATGCATCTGCATAGTATTGTGTAGTTTACAAAGAGCCTCCATTTATACATCATCAGCTGAATGCAGTTATTAATCACATCCACATATTTAGCTAGCACTTATTTTTTAAAAAGAATTATTTTATTCAACTTTATTTATTTATTTATTTTGATTTGACCAGAGAGAGACAGAATGAGAGAGAGAGGGAAAGTGAGAAAGCAAACTGCCAGGTCCAGGACTTGAACCGTGGCCGGCCACGTGTGAGTCCAGCACCCTTTACCACCATGCCACCTGCCGGCTCCTTTAGCCAGCATTTATTTAAAAAATGATATAGGTGTCACTGTATTTGTGTGTAAAGGAATCAAGTTGTTTTACCCAAGGTATGTACATGTACTCCTTCACTGTTTTAGTCAGTGTCCTCTACAATAAAACACCATGTCTTCTCTAACCTGTGCAGTGACTTTTTCCATTTTCCACAGGACTTGAGAGGCTGAGGCCCACAGTAAGAGAGCTGGAGTTGTCTATGGTCTCCCTCTCAGACTTATCCATAGAAATCCTAGAAATGAGGAAGTTTTTAGGATAGACTTTTTTTCTAGAATCTTCATCCTAGACTAGAGCTCTTCACATGGATCTCATCTGTGAGAGTTTTGTAGTTTTTTTTTTTAAAGAAATTTTTAAAAGACTTATTTATCTTTATTTTAATTTGGCTAGAGAGGAACAGAGAGAGAGAGAGATAAAGAGAGAGGGAAAGTAAGAAAACAAGCCACCAGGTCCAGGACTTGAACTGTGGTCAGCCATGTGGGAGTCCAGCGCCCTTAACCACCATGCCACCTGCTGGCTCCATGTTATTTATGTATTTATTTATTGGAGAGATTTTTGTTATTGGGCACATATGTTCGCCGGAGAAACAGAGAGAGATAGAAAGCAAGAAATCCCCCTAGGATGATGGCCACCACAGTCCCTTCTTTTCCATTCTCTGCTTGGGATTTGGGGCATGCATGCATATGTGCTAGGCATGATTTTTAAGTCAACAGGTCTGGGACTCAAACCACGGTTGACTATATGGGAGTCCAGCAACATAACCATTACACATCTGCTGGTCCTGAGGGTTCTGTAGTTTTAAATGAGCTCACAGTGGCTGAGATGACTAAAGGCTGCTCTCTACCTTCAGTGCCCCGGCTCAGCACCACCATTCTAACCATTGGGTACAGACCTGCCAACATTCCTGTGGTTCTGTGAGCCCATGCCAAGAGGAAGACCATTGATTTGGTTAATACGACATGACAGTCGATGTTTATAAGACTATGGGAGAAATCTATCTGTCATGTGGTAAAAGCGATAGGTTTGAACAGGCAAATCCAGAGACAGAAGCTTTTTGGTTAGTGGCTTCTAGGGGATGAGGGTAGTAGAGAAAATGGAGAATGACTCTAAATGCGCAGAGTTTATTTTTCACGTTCTGAAAATATTGTGTGTGTGTGTGTGTGTGTGCTCAGGAGAATGGCCATGCTGCAATCCCTTCTCCTCCATTCTCCTCTTGGGATTTTGGGCATGTATGTACTGAGTGGTGTGTTCTTCAAATCACCAGGTCCAGGATTCCAACTGCTCACTTAGTCACATGAGATCCAGCTGCCTGCTGGCCATGAAGTGTACACTTTTTAAATTTTTCAGAGAGATTTTTGCTATAGGGCATGTGCACTCACCAGAGAGAGAGAGAGAGAAAGAGACGGAAAGCACAAAAATCACCCCCTCCCCCCGGGAGATTGGCCATGCCACAGTCCCTCTCCTCCAGTCTCCTCTCAGGATTTTGGACTCACGCGCACGCATACCCAGCATGAGATTTAAGCTGCCGGGTTCAGGACTCGAGCTGTGGTCGACTACGTGGGAGTCTAGTGAAGTAAAAATTATGCCATTTGCTTGTCCCCCTGAAGTGTACACTTTTAAAGTGGTAAATTTTTTGGTATGTGAATAATTTCTCACTTGAGTTTAAGTATTTCAGAGTAGATGAGAAATTTAATAATTTTTTTTTTTTTTTTGCAACTGACCAACTTGTGTTCAATAAAAATACAGCAATTAAGTAAGTCCTTTTAGATGAGCTACATGAAAACATTCAGGGCTTTGTTTGCTTTGCCATTTGGAAACAATGCTCTGTACTGTAAGTTCCTGAATTGGGAGTCTAGGTCATCAGAGAAGGAGTGTTCTTTTCAAGTTCCAAAACATTGTCTTAATAACCAACCCTATAGATGAATAGCTTCTTTTTACCCTCATTTTGAAAGGAGCTACAGATCCCTTTGCAATGTTTTCATTTTCTATTTTCTACTATGCAAATGTAGATGCATTTCTCCTTCATTGATTTTACCTGCTAGGTGCCAAGAACTCTTCACGACACAGAGGGTATGGCAGGGAATAGAAGTGACAGAAATTCCTTCTTCCATAGATATTGCATTTTGGAGACAGGCAATAAACATGTGAAATCTGTCATGTGCTGGATGCCTTTAAGTCCTTGGTGCAGAATGAAATATTGACAGGGAATAGGTCATCTGGCAGTGTGTGAGAAGCCCTTATGGAGAAGGTGACATTGGGAAGACTACTAGAAATAGGAGAGGGACTATGCAAAGCATATGCTTTGGAAGAAAATTCCAGACTGAGATAATAGCAAACACAGAGGCCCTGAGGCTGGAGAACTTGCAAGCAGGCCAGGTAGGCGGACAGAATCAGAGTAGTAGGGAGAGTGGTCAGGCAGGAGGCTGGAGACGCAGTAGTTGGCAGGGTTATGGGTTTTGTCTGATCTCACAGGTTATTGTAAGCACTTGGGCTTTTAAAAAACTTTTGTGCTGTAGAGCACATGAGTTGCCAGAAAGAGAGAGAGAGAGAGAGAGAGAGAGAGAGAGAGAAAGAAAGAGAGAAAGAGAGAGAGGAGAAATAATCTCTTCAGAAGGAGGGCCACACTACAATCCCTTCTCCTCCAGTCTCCTCAGGATTTGGGGCATGCACACACACGTGCCTGGCACAATTTTAAAGCTGCTGGTTCTGGGACTTGAACCATGCCGTTGGCCATGTGGAATCCAGTGCCTTAACCTCCACATCACCTGCTGACCCGGAACTTGGGCTTTTACTAAATACTTTTGAGCAGAACAATGACCTACCTACTATGATCCCCCTCGACATTTTACTTTTTAAAAATGGACACATAATAATTGTACATATTTATGGGATACAGTGAGTTTGTTTTTTTTTTCCTTTTTTTTTTTTTCAGTTTGCTTCAGGGCACATGGGCTTGTTGGAGAGAGCTAGAGAGGGGCTGTGGAGGTGAGAAAGCACCCTCTAGGGGGATGTCCATGCTGCAATCTTCTCCATTTCCCTCTTGGGATTTTTGGGTACACACATGTACCCAGCAAGGTTTTCAAGCCTCTGGGTCTAGGAGTTGAACTGTGCAGTTGGCCATGTAGGATCTAGCCTCCTTAACCACCAACCACCATGGGAGAAGCTGGCGTACAGTGCGACTTTTCTTTTTTAATAATTATTTAACTTTATTTATTTATTTTTAAATTTGACTAGAGAGAGAAAGACAGAAAGTGAGAAAGCAAGCCACTGCCAGGTCTGGGACCTGACCTGTGGTCGGCCATGTGGGAGTCCAGCACCCTTAACCTCCATGTCACCTGCCAGCCCCAAGTATGATTGTTTTAAAATTTAACTTTAGTTGGGACCAGCAGCTGATATAATGGCTATGTTGCTGGACTTCCAGGTAGTTGACCGCAGTTTGAGTCCTGGACCCAGTGGCTTAAACTCATGCCGGGTGCGTGTGCGTGCATGCTCAAGATCCCAAGAGGAGACCGGACAAGAAGGGATTGTGGCATGGCCATCCCCCCTGGAGGGTGATTTCTCTCTGTCTTTCTAGCTAGTGCACGTGTCTTACAGCAAAAACCTCTCCAAAAAATTTAATTTTAGTTATCATTATTACTTATTTATTTGAGAGGTTTTTGCTATAAACTGGTAACTGCCTCATTGGAATCATCCTGTATTTTTAGAGAGATTTTTGCTATAGAGCATGTGCACTTACTGGAGACATACAGAGACAGAAACAAGAGAGAGAGAGACAGAGAGAGAGAAAAAGTGAGAAACCACCCTCCAGGGGGTTCTGGCCATGCTGCAGTCCTTTCACTTCCATCTTCCTCTTGGGATTTTGGACGCACGTGCACATGTGTCTTGCATTCATTTCAAGCTGCTAGGTCTGGGACTTGAACTGTAGTTTACTATATGGGAGTCCAGTGCCTTAACCACTATGCCATCTGCTGGCCCTCTGGACACATATTTATAGAGTACACAAAGCTAGAGACTATAAGCAGCAATATTCATGGACTTGAGACAGGCTACTGTCTCTGCTTCCTAGTTTCAAGTAGGACCAAGCTAAAGCTGAGAGTGTCCATGACTTCTTTTTTTTTTTTGGAGAGGTTTTTGCTATAGGGCGCGTGCGCTCGCCAGACAGACAGAGAGAGAGACATAGAGACAGAAAGCGAGAAATCACCCCCCAGGGGGGATGGTCACGCCGCAATCCCTTCTCCTCCATTCTCCTCTCGGGATCTTGGGCACGCACGCACACGCGCCCGGCGTGAGATTTAAGCCACCGGGTCCGAGACGCGAACCGCGGTCGACTACGTGGGAGTCCAGCGACATAGCCATTACGCTAACTGCTGGTTCCCTCCATGACTTCTTTAAAGCTCACCAACGCCAAGATTGAAACTAGAACTTTGTATTTCTTTTCTTTTTGTTAGAATTATTTATTTAATTTTATTTGTTATTATTTTTTAATTTGACTAGAGAGAGACAGAGAGAGACACACACAAAGGGAAGTGAGAAAGCAAGCCACCAGGTCCAAGCACTTGATTGACCATGTGGGAGTCCAGAGCCTTAACCACCATGCTACCCACCGGCCCCCAGAACTTCATATTGCTTAGAAATATGTATGCAGGGGGACCAGCAGTTAACGTAATGGCTATGTCGCTAGACTCCCATGTAGTCAATTGCGGTTCGAGTCCTGGATCCAGTGGCTTAAACTCACGCAGGCCACGTGTGCATGCATGCCCAAGTATATATATATATATATATATATATATACAGGAAAATATTCTCTCCTTCCCTTCCTCAGTAGTTATGACATTTTACCCCTTTGTTTTTCAGAATACATCCTCTGCCCGTTTACAAGTCTATCTTGCTCTTGACTGGAGAACGTGGCTGTGGGAAGTCCACTCTGATTGCCAGCTGGGTGAATTATTTCAAAAAGAAGTATCCGAGTGTGTTGATGATCCCACACTTTGTGGGAAGCACCTGTGAGAGCAGTGACATCATGTCGGTGATCCGTTACTTCATCACAGAATTGCAGCACACCAACCATGGTAACACAGTGCAGTGTCTACGTTCATTCAGAAACTGTCTGAGGCCAACCTGGGGGGCCAGTGGTTAAGGGAGCTGGGTCTCATAGAGCTGACCATGGTTCAGTTCCCAGACCTGGCAGCTTGAAAAACACGCTGAGCATGTGTGTGTGTGTGTGTGTGTGTGTGTGTGTGTGTGCACCTCAAATCCCAACTGGATGGAGAAATGGAGAAGGGATTGCAGTGTGACACGCACCCATTGAGGGGCGCGTTCTCCCTCTCTCTTTTCTCTCCATCTATTTATCTCTCTGGGGAACATACATGTTTTCTGGCAATTAAAAAAAATGTTTGGTGAGTGAGAGGCTTAGTGGTTCTCTCTTCTGTTCATGCGAGTATTGTTCTTGTTCTAATCTGAACTTAACCACTGTCTCACTTGCATAGCTACTCACCTCTTGCCTCAGAGACTGACATTTTCTTCTCTTTCTCCCTCCCTCTCCCCTTCCTTCCTTTCTTTCTCCAAATATTGAGTACCTTTATTGTGTCAGTAGAGAGTCAATAGTGGAAAAAATGGACAAAGTCCTAACGCTCATGAAGTTTTCATGTTATCTAGGAGGGGAGAGGACAAAGAGTTAACTGAGCAACTAAATGAAAGACACAGAATGTTATCTGACGGTGAGCTCTCTGACTAGCAAGCAGAGAAGAAGGTAACAGTGGGAGTGTAGGAGCTGTTCAGATTTTGAACAGTCTGGGGGTCTCTCTGAGAAAAGGAATTCATTATAGCTGCATTTCTCAGGCATAGAAAGTGGGTAAAACCAGAATCTGTAGAAGCAGGTGTCTCTAGAAGGCAACTGATCCTTTTTGGGCACATCCCAGAGGTGTTTGGCCTGGCTGGGCTGATGATGTAAAGATCCAATTAGGATTTTATCCCCAAAGTGAATTGTTATCTTAATGAGTGTGTGTGGATGTAGAAAGCTCCTAATGCAAACGGCTGCTTTCTTTTTTTTGTTTATTTATTTTTTGACTTTCCTCCCTGTATTACTTGTTTTATTTACATTTCATCACTGTACATCTTTGCAGCATATAAAAGGAATCTTCCCGGCATGAATACACTGCATACTAGTCCGGTCCAAGACACTACCATGCACATCATCCTTAACACATAATTTTACACTTTCGTGTTTGTTAAATGCTTTTCTTTTCTTTCCCTGCTTCCCTCCCTCAAGCCTACCCTCCTCCCACAAGGTCTCTAGTATCCACGGTTACTCTCCATGCCTTTAAATCTTCCCAACTTTCAGTTTCTGACCTCCTCCCACATGTCACTAGTATCCACAGTTAACTCTCCATGCCTTTAAATCTTCCCAATTTTCTATTTCTATCATAGAGTGCAGATATTCAGTATGCATTTTTTAAGAAAATAATTATTTACTTTATTTATTTCTTTATTTTTCTATTTATTTTTAATTTGACCACACACACACACACACACACACACACACACAGAGCGAGCGAGAGAGAGAGAGAGAAAGTGAGAGAGATGGAAAGCCACCAGGTCCAGGACTTGAACCGTGGTCGACCATGTGGGAGTGTCCAGAGCCTTAGCTATGATGCCACTTGTTGGTCCCAGATATTCAGTATGTATTAAGTGGGGACATATAATGCTTCTCTTTCATAGTCTGACTTGCTTCACTCAACATTAAATCTTCTACATTTATCTGCTTTCTATCAAATGCCAGGGTCTCTTCTTATGGCTGAGTGGTATTTCACAGTGTGTATGTCACACTTCTTCAGTCTTTTCACCTGTTCTTGGATATTTGGGTTGATTCTGTGTTTTAGCAATTGTGAATAATGCTGCAATAAACATGGACGTGCATGTGTTTTTCTGACTGCGTGTATTACTATCCTTTGGGTAGATACCCAGCAGTGGACTTGCTGAATTGTATGGTAGTTCTATTTGTAGATCTTTTTTTTTTTAGAGAGAGATTTTTGTGATAGGGCACGTGTACTCGCTGGAGAGAAAGAGAGACAGAAAGCAAGAAATCCCCACCCCCCCCAGGGAGATGTTCATGCCACAATCCCTTCTCCATTCTCCTTTCAGGATCTTGGGCACACACATACACGTGTGCGCATGTGCATGCGCCCAGCACGAGTTTTAAGCCACTGGGTCTGGGACTTGAACTGTGATTGACTACATGGGAGTTCAATGATGTAACCATTTTGCCATCTGGTGGTCCCTTCATATTTGTAGGTTTTTGAGGTGCCTCACATGGTTCTCCACAATGCCTATACTAGTTTACATTCCCACCAACAGTGTAGGAGGGTTCCCTTTTCACTGAAGCCACAGCAACACTTAGCATTCTGTATTTTTTTTAATCTTAGCCATTCTGACTGGCCTTAGATAGTATCTCATTGTGGTTTTGATTTCCATCTCCCTTATGATAAGGCATGTTGAGCATTTTTTTCATATGCTTTTTGGCTATTCATATGTCTTCCTTGGAGAGTTGTCTGTTCAGCTCATTTGCCCATTTTTTAAATTGGATGGCTACCCTCCCCCACAACTGCTTTAATTCCTTGTATAGTCTGGTTCTCAGTCCCTTATCTGACATATTCTCCCATTCTGAGGGTTATCAATTCACCTTAATTATTGTTTTTTGTTTGTTTGTTTTTGTTGTGCAAAAGCATTTTAACCTGGTATAAACCCACTTGCCTGTTTTGGGGATTACTGCCTGTGCTTTGGGGGTCTTACTTAAAAAGTCTTTGCCAGCTTGAGTGTATCTAAGAGTTTCCTCTGTGTTTTCCACCAGTAGTTTTATAGATTGAGGTTTTATGTTTAGATCTTGATCCATTTTGAGTTGATTTTTGTTAGCAGTGAGATAGGGGTCCAGTTTCAATTTTTTGCAGGTGGATATTCAGTTTTTCCAGCACCATTCACTGAAGAGATTTTCTTTTTCCAGCTAGATTAACTTATTCCCTTTGTTGAAAATCAGTTGGCTGGATATTTTGGGGTTTATTTCTGGGTTCTCTATTCTTTTCCATTGGTCTATATGCCTGTTTTTGTGCCAGTACCATGCTGTTTTGATTATCACAACTTTTTAATATATTTTGGGGTCAGAGAGTGAGATGCCTCCTACTTTAATCTTTTTGTGTGGTATTACTTTGTTGATACAGGGCCTTTTATGATTCCAGACAAATGTTATGATTGTTTCTCTAAATATTTCTGTGAAGAATATTTGATTGGAATTGCTTTAAATTTACTAATCAATTTGAGTAGAATTGATATTTTGATTATATTAACTCCCTTTAAAGAATTATTTATTTCATTTTATTTATTATTATTAATTTTTTGAGAAGTTTTTGCAATAGAGCACATGTGTTCGCCAGTAAAAGAGAGAGACAGAGAGACAGAAAGTGAGAAATCACACCCCAGGGGGGATTGCCATGCCGCAATGCCATCTCCTCCATTCTCCTCTCAGGATCTTGGGCATGCATGCACATGTGCAATATATAATCTTTCATCAACTTAGGTGGCTGGATACCTCATGTCTGAGTGCTTTAAGTCCTGGACCTGGCAGTTTGAAAGCACACTGGTGTGTGAGCATGCATGCTCAAAATTCCTAGAGGAGAATAGAGGAAAAGGTATTGTGGCCATCTCCCCTGAAAGGTGATTTTTGACTTTCCCTCTCTCTCTCTCTGTCTGTCTTTTTCCGGTGGGCACATGTACCCTCTAGCAAAAAACTTTAAAAAGAGTTCACGACAGTGTGTATCTATTAATTTTTCTGTCATCAAAAGAGTACTTTGCCTAAAAGAAAGGACTGACTAGTGCACACGGTTTACAATCTTCCGTGAAACCGTATTTATCACTGATTTTTTTGGTCATTTTTTAAAATTTAAATTTATTTATTTGCATTCATTCACTGTACATTATTACAACATACAAAATGAGATTTTCCATCCAGAGTACACTGTATATTGTCTCAATCAAGCACATCAACAAACATGTTATTGTCAGCAAATAATTTTCCATTTCTTGTTTTCTGTAATGTTTTGCTTTTTTTTCCCCCATCCTTGATTCCCTATCTCTTACCCTCTGCCATCTCTCACTCTCCTCCCACACTGTCTCTG